CGGCCCAGCAGCACAGCGTCCACGCCCCGCAGGGTGACCGCTGCATCATGGGCCAGCGGCGGAGCTTCCGGAGACGCCGGCCGGCGGCCTGGTGCGTGCAGGGGCGGGGCTTCACGTCGGCGCTCAGCTCCCGCGTGTGCGCCTGCCGGGACTCGGACTTCCTCTGGTGAGCACCCGCCGCCGGCCTCGGCCCGCGGAGGGCCCTGAGAGGGCCTCTCCTGGCCGCCCTGCCCGCTCGGGGTCGGCCACTGGGACTTCCCCGGCGGGAGGACATGCAGGAGCAGCGGCGGGACCGGGGCTGTGCCCGCCAGCCCCTCTCCCGCCCGGGCTCTGCTCAGAGTCCCTGCTGCTGCCCTGCCCTGCACCCCGTGGCCCGGGGCTGCCCACTGCCCAGCTCCCCAGCCGCTCCCCCATCCTCTGGCCCCGCCGCCCCAGCCCCAAAGGGCCAGGCCCACCTGCGGGGCCTCCCCTGGTCCTGCTCTGCCCTTGCGGCGCAGGCCGCCTCCTCCAGGCGGCCCTCCAGGCCCCGGGTGGGCTCGGTCCTGTCCCCCGTCACCGGAGCCCGACGGTCAGCTCACACCGTCTTCCCGGTGGGGCACGGGACTCGCCTCGTGACCCAGCAGTGTGTGGGCGGCCCACCGAGAGGGCGGCCCCGCTCCCCCAGGCCAGCCTGTCCTCTCCCCTCAGTGACTACGGCTTCGAGCGAGCCCCCTCCTCGGAGTCCGACGCCAGCAAGTGCTTCGCCCACTTCTGGTTTAACCCGCTGGCCCCGCCGGAGGACTGCGTCCTGGGCCAGACCTACAGCAGCAGCCTCGGGTGAGTGCGGCCGCCGCCGGCTGGTCCGGGCTCAGCCTATGACCGCCCCGCTCGCCCGTCCGGAGCTGGAGCCGGAGAAGTGAGCGCCCTGGCCGGACCCCGCAGTCCCGTCCAGCCTGAGCCCCATGGGCCAGCGCCGGGAGGCGTTCTCGGGGGCTCTGAGCAGGGGTGGCGGGCGTAGCGGGCC